TGACATTACAAATTACATGTAATTGGATTATATATGAATTATCTATTTCTAAAATTCATGATCTCCAAAAAAATCTATGTCTCTCAGAATGTGGAAATATCGTGGACATATAGATAAAATACTTTAAAATATTTATTTGAAAGAAGTGGGCTTTTAATCCTGCGATACCACATTAAGGGAGCGTCCTACTTTAGGAAACTGAAAAAAGGTGATTTTTTTCATAAGGAAGCCTAATATTTATCATTTTAAAACTTTTTGCACGTTTTAATATAACTATTGTAAAGTACAAATTTTTATATGAAAAAAAGGTATAAATAATAAAAATATAAACATTTGGTTTGACACCATGCCGACGTTATGATGTTGTGTACATCCTAGCGGCTGTAATTCTTGTCGGAAGCAAAAAATTAAGAAATATTTTTAATTTTTACAGAATTTCATCCTAAATACCGCGTAAAAATTAAAAAATATATATATAACATTATGTGCGACTTTTTATAATTTTCACTAGGTAGCAGCCGTTTATTTATGCAAAAAAATTGTTAATGTTGATTTTTATTTAATTTTTAGGTTCATCGAGGATGGTTGATTATTAGCAAACTAATGAGCCCTATAAAAAGGTGATTGGTCAAATACTTTTGATAATTATTGTGAAAAGGTTAAACCTCGCCGATGACCTTGACATGTGTTGTCAAGGTCGTGACCCTAAATAACCTCCAACAATTTTAGTCACCGGTCGCCATTCGTTAAAAAATTATTAACAAAAGAAGTTTAAAAAAATAATGTCTCTTTTCTATTGTATAAAATAAAAATTCTCTGCTTTAAAATAGATTTCCTGCTTTAAAAACAAAAATTTTCTTTGAAAACATTTTCTCATTTTTGTTATTATACAGGATGTCCCATTTTAATGTCTCACCCCAAATAACTTTTTTATTTTTGACCTTAGAAAAAAATCGGTGGTCTAATGGCTCAGGATGCTCGTACAGAATACAAGAGATCCGGGTTCGACTCCCGGCCGCGAAGTAATATTTTTCACAATAAGTTTAATTACAGTTTTTTCAGCATATTAACCTTTGTAATATTATTGTAATTAATCTTTGTAATATGATGCCTGATTGAGCATCGAAATTATTTAGTTTAATTTATTTATTTAAGAAAGAATTTAATTTAATTCGCGAAATTACTACAATGATTTAATTGTGTTTAGTCCGGAAATATTTCGGTACACAGTCCGTTAGACTACAATTGTGGTATATATGTTAAGTTCATATATATCATTTATTTCAAGATTGAATTATTTAAAAAGCATTTTAAGATCTAGCTTCGACCGTATAAGGCTCTAATTTATCGGTTGTGTCTCTCACATACACGGTCTAAAAATGATATTATTAGAAAAAAATGTTTCAGACAAAAGTTGTATGGCTTTGAGGGGGATATAAGATGGTATCATTAGTTTGACCATGAATAGTTACTTAAATGTCACGTAAAGGTTACCTTCAATTTCTTAAACAGAAACCCCTACTTTTTATTGCACATTCTTGTAGATCATCTCGAGAGTTTTCTAAAATACTATAATTAAGTACCTTTTTGTTAAGTACTTGTTAAGTTATAACGCAAGATCGCGACATAACCGACCGGCCGGTCAAGACAAGATAAAGGCACGAACCAGCCGGATCATGTCTTTATCTTGCCCTGACCGGCCGGTCAATCGTGCCTTTATTTTGCCTTAACCGATCAAATTAACTTAACAAGTACTTAACGAAAAGGTACTTAATTATAGTGTTTTGGAAAGGTCTCGAGATGATCTACAAGAATATGCAATAAAAAGTAGGGGGTTCCATTTAAGAAATTGAAAGTAATCTTCACGTGACATTCAAGTAACTATTCAAAGTCAAACTAATGACACTATCTTATGTCCCCCTCAAATCCATACATTTTGTCTGAAACATTTTTTTCTAAGATCTAAAATAAAAAAGTTATTTGGGGTGGGACATTAAAATGGGACACCCTATATAGTAGCGCATAGGGATGTACGACTTTATACGTGAAGTGACTTTCATCCCACCACCCTCTCTGCTTGAGGGCGCACGACTTTCACTCAAAGCGACTCCCATCCCATCTCCCTCCTGCCCAGGGACGCACGACTTTCCACGCGAAGCGAGTTTTATTAAGGTCGAGTGAGAGTCGTTTTGCGTGGAAGTCATCGTGCGCCCCTAAGCTACTTCTCTTATATTCAGTTTCTCGTACTGTGCGTTATTCGTTTTTACGCAAAGCGAAGTTCACCACACCTCTCCCCACACTTTACAACACAAAGCGAGATTCTACATGGGTTTGCAACTTTCGTTATAGCAAAAATGATACTTTTTTTCAATTTTTTTTGATAATAACTTTTTAACGAATCGCAACCGCCGGCTAAAACCTGTTGGAAATTACTCATAACCTTGACAACATATGTCAAAGTCATCGGCAAGGTTTGATCTTTTCGCAATAATTACCATACTTTTTTCTCAATTGTGTACACAAAATTGTTGAAGAAAATGCAAAAAAGATTTCAAGAAAAATACGTTTAAAGCTTTCGGTTTAGTTCATGAGATCTTACAATGCTCGGAGGCTAATCTGTGATTGCAGGGACGATAATCCTTCAGTTTTCTCATGGAATTCATTTTGAGCAATTTGAGTCATTCTGCGAGCTACTCGGGCCTCTCTCGTGATCTAACAAGAGAACTGTCGGAACTGATTCACCAATGTTAATAAGCTTTGGATATGTTGTAGAGCATGAAAAAATATTAGGCCCATATTTTGTTTATCTCGAGTTTAGAGGGTGAAACACCCTCTCAAAAAAATCGATTTTTTTCTTTCGAAGCGAATATCGTCGAAACTATAAGAGAAAAAAAATTTGTCCAGTTAATTATTTTTAGAAATATTATAATTATATATAAATATTATAATTATTTTTAGAAATATATTTCTAAATAGAAATGCATCGAATCGTAAAATTACCGGATACCGGATTTCGGACAGAATGTAAAATCGGATATCCGAGAAGGCAATTTCTTTGAGTCGAAAATCCGACATTTTCCGGATATCCGACCGGATTCCGGGAAAATATCTTTAAAAAAAAAAAAAAACCACTTATAAAGAAAAAAATTGAAATTTTGCAACAATGTATGAAACAGTATAGCATTATTTCTAGGACATTTGTATAATAAAGTATCAACAATTTAATGATATCAAATTTCAACCGGATATATTACTGAATACTAATGATATCAGGTCGGATAGTAAAAAAGTGCCAGATAATACCGGATACTTTTCGGATATTCGGTGCATCCTTAGTTCTAAAATACTTTTCAGTCATCCAATTTTCATTCTGGAAAATTTTTTCTATCTCTTATAGTTTCGATGATATTCGTTTCGAAAGAAAAAAACCGATTTTTTTCGAGGAGGAGTTTTATCCTCTAAATCTCGAGATAAACACAAAAAAATGGATCTAATATTTTTTCATGCTCTACAACATATCCAAAGCTCATTAAAATCGGTGAGAACCAGTTCCGACAGTTTCCTTGTAAGTCGTCGGCGTTCCTGCCTGGAAATTCGTCTGTATACCTGCGTACCGTGCACCCGTATATACAAGCGCTGAATTTATATTCGAAGGACTTCGAATTTCGCTCTAAAATTTTAGGGATATATTCTCTTGAAGAGTTGTACTATCAATTCATGAAAAAAAATCGACTTTTTTTATCCTATAAAGTAAGAAACCCCCTTAACGACAATAAATTCATGTTAATTTTTGATTGGAAGATATTGGATGTTTCTCAGAAATACATGATTTACATTCTTTTAATTCGTAATATGAATTAAATAAAATACTTTTTTTTTTAATTCAGTCGCTCGTGATTTCTCTTCCCCCAACATTATACATTAAAAATACATACATATCTATGATTCCCTAAGCGAAACAAATCAATGAAAGTGCTTATTAAAGTAATGTATCATACTATAAATGCGTAAAGAATTACATAGTGATAAAAAAAGTGCCAATTATCACGTTTCATAATTCATACAATTTATTTTAAGTTTAAGGATGAGAAATATTTTTTCATATTATAATATAGTATTGATACTGTTTGTCAATGTATTTAAAATATTTCGCGCAAAAACGAAATTTACTTTTGTCTAATCACAATTTTTCTCCACATAATCATGGAAAATATTTTATAAATTAATTTTATTACAACCAAATTAATCTTTATCATTTGCTTGAACACAAATTAGTTAGTACAAAATATATATAATAAAACGCTTTAATATTAGATTAAGAATTGGCCAATCAATGGACGATCAATGTACAATCAATGTTACAGTATAATTATTTAAAACCATATTAAAAGTTTAGTAATTTAGTAATCTCAATTACAATGTGACAAACAGAACTATTGAGCAGTAATCTCATCGTGTAGCTAGTGTTTTAACTTCCACATTAGGTCGGGGAAGACATTTTATATATTAACACAATTATAAAGTTGCTACGTCCTACGGTAAGATAACAATATTCATCAAGGAGCCCCCCACACACACACACACACACACACACGCGCGCGCGCACTCACACTCATCAAGTATTATTTTTTTTTCTAATGAAGGTATATATAATATCATCATTCTTTTACATGATAATATTATAATATGCAATTTAAAATGATGCTAATGACGCTTTGAAGTTTTCTCGATTGGACCGTTAATTTATTATTATTTTGTTGCAAAGCAGAGTTGTTATTGAAAACTGAGATAAAAATATGTCTAAAGAAATACAAATTTAGATAATGTGATTTCAAATAAGTTCAATAAAATTCAACAGTTCTGCTTTAAATAAGAATAGCACAATAGCCAATATATAAAATGTTGGAAGAACACCATTGGCATGAATTTATAAATGATAAGATTAAAAGACAGACAGACAGACAGAGAAAGAGAAAGAGAGAGAGAGAGAGAGAGAGAGAGAGAGAGAACAGATATGGAAAGAGAGAAAGAGACTTCTTGCAAAATATTAGCAATCCGTTTCAGGCTGAGTTGGCTTATGCAGTTCGTTGGATGATGTGAATTCCGCTATCTGTGTGGACAGGTGATGACAGCTCGCCAACTTTCAGCGCAAATGCTGCCTGTTCGAAGGGTTTCTGCATCGCACCTCGATTGAAAGGTCCAAGATCACCACCGCGCTTTGCCGAACTGCAATCGCTGTATTTGGAGGCAAGTTCAGCGAACGTCGCTTTACCAGATGCAATTTGTTCTCTATAAGCTGTTAACAAGATATTTTTATAATAATCACAGTTGAAAGGTATTAAATATTTCAATACTATAACAGCTGTCGCGCAAAATTCAGATTATTTCAGGTACATTTCTCATACCATCTTGTACTGACATTAGAAATTTTTATTGAAAAAATATTCCATTTTAATATGAACAAAATCTATGAAAAACGTATTTAATCTCAAGATAACTAGAAAAAAATCACAATATTGCATTAACTTTTTAAAGAGAAATCTCCCAATAGTAACAACAATAAGTTTTAAAAATAAATCTTATTGTTTTTGTAGTAAAAATTGAGCAAGAAGTTTATCGCTTCCTGTATAAAAATTACAATGTAATGAAAATAGTTTAGAAACTTTGCTCTCTAGGATTAACGATACAATGAAATAAACATAGCAACAACAGACAGAAATATTCTACATGAACAATGAAATAATAAATAATTTTCAGACAGAAGATTGTAAATAGTAGACATACATTTGACCAAATCGAGAGCTTCTTCTTTTGACCTAGTAATATTCTCCTCTCGCCAGGAAGAAGGTCGTCGAGAGCCTGAATGTTTCACAAGTAGATGAGAGCATTGCACTTCTTCAGGTCCATCTGCCTTGCCATTGCCAGATGGATCGGCAGGTTTATCTGGTCTATCCCACTGACTTTCCTTGGTATAAATATTTAAATAATAGTGTTGACCTATAATAATTTTATTCATTTCAGGCAGAAACCAAAATACTAATATTAATAAACTTAAGTATTTTTTTTATCACTATTGTGTTTTATCAGCTCTATGATTTCATATGAAGTAAAACTTAATATCAAACATTTTAAATTCAGTGAATATTATGATCATGTTCAAGAAAACTGAGGATCACTTGCAATTTTTAAAGAAAGTCTTAGATTAGAAATAGAAATAAATTAGGCTAAACTAGAATCATTTCTCTTATTATACACTCTCATCCAAAAACTTGAAAACCCTTTAAAAATTTTCAAATTACTTATACAGGGTGTTTCTTTTTAATCTAGCCAGGCGAATATTTCAAATGCTGTTGAGTTTATAGAAAAATGTGTCAGACAAAAGTTGTAGAATGCGGAGGGGGACACAAGATGGTGGCCTTGAATTTTTGATGAAGGTCAAACTGAAGGTCATTTCAAGGTCAACTTTGGTTTTTTTAATGGAGTGTAATATTTTTCATTTCATATTCTGAGAGCATAAAATTCTGCGTTAAAGTTGTCTGACACGTTTTTCATGAAAATTTTATGTTGCCTAAGGACGTAATCTCGGATATACGCGGGCGTCACCGTTCATTTACGTTCATACGTCCATTATTGCATTCTTACATCGTATTGAGCTCGTCCTTAGGCATCGTTTCAGTCATTACAAAAGAAAGAAGTATCGGTTGATTACTTACATGATTTAACAAAATTGCTCATACTGTATGCTTCATAAAATGTCACCGTATGAGATACATCTTTGCTTAAATTGCTAAATTTCCACAATAAAATGGATTTTCATGAAAAACGTGTCAGACAACTTTAACGCAGAATCTTATGTCCCCCTCCGCACTCTACAACTTTTGTCTGACACATTTTTTTATAAACTCAACAGCATTTGAAATATTCGCCTGGCTAGATTAAAAAGAAACCCTGTATATGCATAACAATGTATGTTATGTTTTTACAATAATTCTTTAGATCTAATAATTATTATTGAATCTGAAACATTATTGTTAAAAGAACATCTTATTATGGATAATAATCTAAAAAAAACTTCATACTTTTGTGACCTGGAGTAAATTGCAGAAATAATAAAAGCAATTGTGTACTGGATTTTTGAAAAGTTTATACATGATTAATAAAGCAATCAATTCGCTGAAGTTGAAATCAATAAATTGTGTACTGGATTTTTGAAAAGTTTATACATGATTAATAAAGCAATCAATTCGCTGAAGTTGAAATCAATAAACCGATAGACAGTGCCGATAAGAAATCAAAATTGATATAATAAGTGCAAGATATTTTCTAGTCGTTTTTCAGCAAAATCTCGAGATGAGATCCAACCATCTTTAACACTCAGCACACTATTCGATCTTTCGTCCCTAACCGGGGTTCTACAACGAGTCGTTAGTCGGAATTCCTAAAACGGTCCTGCAATAACCAACTTATACGACTAATTGTAAGGTGATTCTACAATGACTTATGCCCTTATTCATAGTTAGAAGCCTTATACTTAAGGCTTCCTTAAATTTATCTTTAGATGCTCAGTAGCCAATGAAATAATTCATAGAGTATCTGAAGATAAATTTAAGGAAGCCTTAAATATAAGGCATGACTATGAACAGGCATTAGTTTACATCGTGCACTTGATATGGGTATTAACTAGTAACTTTCTATTAAATTATTTTAATTTCAGCGTATGTATTCGAAGAATGATGTACTAAATTGATACAATATGCATCAAAATGATTAATTAAATACACATATCATGTATATGTTTAGGTCAATATTACATACGTCCGTTTTTTGTCGTACGACGAATTTTTCAAGCCTGTTAATTGACTGCAAGACAGAGAGGATCTCGGATCTCTTTGTCCTATAGCCAATCGAGGCTTAAAAAATTTGTCGTACGACAAAAACGGACGCATGTAATATTGGCCTTACATGTATCACCGAAATTAAGATAATTCAAAAGAGTTAGAAAGTTACTAGTTAGTACCCGTATTAAGTGCACGATGTAAGCCAATGGTCGGTAGTTAGTAGTCCTACAGCCTGTATTATGGGTCTTCTATAATAAGCCATTAGTCATAAATCAAAAGTCAGAAGCTAAAAATTGACGACTGTGATTAGTCAATTTCCAGCTTTTAATTTCTGATTTATGACTAATGGCTTATTGTAAATTGTAGAATGCCTGCTAGACTACCGACTCTTCAGGCCGATCCGATTGCTAACTCTGACTGCCGACCAATAATGGACCAATCACATTGAATCAGTCTTATTGTAATTGGTCTATTATTGATCGGCAGTTGGCCTGCAGAGTCGATAGTCTGATATGGACCAAAGTCTTATCAATAAATCGGTGAAGTTGGCCAACAGCCAACTTATACGACTAAGAATCTGAGCACAAGAATTGTCGTAACAAAGGACATCACACGTACAAAAATTTTAGTCGTAATCGTAAAACCGTAAGCAAATCGGCCGATCACAGTCGAGCGTTTTAAAACACGAGATCGTAATTTTGATTGTAATTGGTCGATTTGCTTGCGACCTTACGAAGTTTGTTCGCGTCGCATGCTCCAACATGTTCCAATATGCTCCTACCATCTTACTCACTCCAACGCGCTTGATAGAGTGAGTAAGAGCTATGGTAGGAGCATATTGGAGCATGTTGGAGCTTGCTACGCGACAAACCTACGATTACGACTAAAATTTTTGTATATGTGATGGTCTTTATTTAGGCCTGCTACATAACAGAGTCGCAATTCATAAGCTGTAAAAAATTAACCAATCATAGTCGATTATTTTTGTCATATTTAATTGCGATTGGCCAATTTCTTACGGCTTACGAATTGCGACTCTATTGTGTAAAGCTGGTTCTACATTGATCGCATCGCAGCGTCGCAAACGTGTTGCAAGCGTTGCAGTCCAATCAGAGTCGAGCTAGCTTGACGTTGATTGGACCACAACACTTGCGATGCTGCGATGCGACTAATGTAGAACCAGCTTAACAGGCCTCAAGGCCATGGCACATACGTTCCGTAATAATAACAATAAGACTACCATAAGAATCAGTCAATTACAATCAAGAATTCTCTTAATTTTAATTGGCTGATTCTTACAGTACGTCTTATGATTATTGTTACGGAAGGTGTGTGCCACCCAATAAACGAGAATGGATTAAAATGGATTGAAATTTTTTCTATCCGAATGCATATTTTAAATAGTGAAGTAATGCATATTTTAAATAGCGAATACTTTTTTTTTTGGATTCAATTGGATGTAAATGGATTGACAAACTTTCCTATTCAAAATTTTGAATTGAACGGTATTCACAATGCACAGAAAAAGCTGATATTATTTTTAGATTGAAAGGCATAAAGATATGCTCCATGCAATTCCTGTAAATGAATAAAAATGCATTCAGAATTGAAAAGCATTCATTTTAACATTTGTGAGTCCATATTTCTGAAAATCTGAATCCATTTCAATCCATTTTCGTTTACTAGGCATGGCCTTCAGAGACTTAAGTTGTAGACGTAAGTAATGCACAAGCTTTGGCGTATGACGTAGGACTTATTGCTGTCTCTTGAAGACACGGCAATAAGTTGTATGTCATATGGACCTTCTACAATAAGTCAATTAGTCATAAATCAGAAGTCAGAAGCTAAAAATTGACGATTGGTCAATTTTTAGCTTCTAACTTCTGATTTATGACTAAAGCTGATTCTACAATGAATCGGTAGTTGGCCTGAGCCTTCCTAAGTCTTATCGGTGAATCGGTGGAGTTGGTCAACAGCCAACTTGTATGACTAATGCCCGTATTCATAGTCAGGCCTTATATTTAAGACTTCCTTAAATTTATCTTCAGATGCTCTACGAATTATTTCATTGGCTACTGAGCATCTAAAGATAAATTTAAGGAAGCCGTAAGTACAAGGTCTGACTATGAATGGGCCTAAGACTACCGATTTTTTTAAGACTGACCAAATTCGACTTTATTCCTTCCCACTAATCGAGCTAAACGACTCACTGTATAATTAACAACTAGTTTATGCAAAAAATCATAGTCACCTATTTAGGTTAAAACTGGTTAAGGATTAAGATTTCCGATTACCGACTCATCGTAGAATCAGCTTAATGACTTGTTGTAGAAGGTCCAATATGTGAAAGCTTATGCGTTACTCACGTCTGCAACTTAAGTTTAAGTATTACTTGATTTATGCTTCGATCTTAACCCTAAAATCTTAAAATTCAGCCAATAAGACTGCCAGTCTTAATTAATCCTAACTGAAATCTGTATTCCATTGGCTGAATTTCAGGATTTTAGGGTTAAGATTGAAGCATAAACCAGACATATTACGATCATTCTTGTGCTCAGATCTTAAGACTACCAATTTTCTTAAAACTAGCCAAATTCAATTTTATCCCTTCTCATTAGTTCGAGCTTAATGACTTGCTGTACAATTAATAACTTGTAGATGTGAAAAATCATACAGCAAATTCGTCAGACTGCATTAGTATACACTGAATACGAACTTTTTCCGTGCTACACATTCAGCTTGTGCACATTGTATCAGTGAGTTCAGATTGTCGTATTCGGCAAATGAAAACTGACTCAATGTAGTAAATTTATATTCGGACCAACCAAATGAACTGAACGAGTTCAAGAAATTGTACTGACATATCTCTCTCTGACAGTATAGTTTGACATAGCATCAAAGTGGTTCTGCACTTGCAACATGTTAGAGCAGCACCAGAGCAGTCTGCATGCGTGCCGAATTCGTCAATAGTTACTTGTTTAGATTAAAATCAAATAAAACAAGATTTCCGACTCATGTAGAAGCCTAATCAATTTAACTGGTTATAACTTTTGACTACAGACTCATTGTAAAATCCGGTAAAAGATTCACATCAACTATAATCGACTACATATGTAATACGAAAACTTGTAGAGGGAACATCGAGAAGTATCGGACATTTCCCTTGACTACTGCGAATTGATTAACATCGGCAAAATATCAATGAAATGTTATACGTCGAGGTGTCGGCCCGACGCGACGTATCTCACTCCAACGAGAGCATAGCGCAGAGATCGTAGATTCCGCGATGCCTCGTGGCGAGAGTCGCGCCTTAATAAGATCGCCGTTTGTGGGGATGCGACTGGAAAAATCGTCGGTTTCGACGTACCAGTCGATCTGCTGAGACGTTTCTCCCATCCCGCTGGTAGCTCCTCGTCCGCCATTACGGTCGTAGTATATTTTCGGACTGTGTTTTGCTGTTCTCTTCGATGACACTCTCCACGTCAAACCTATAGACATAATAAGAATATACCAGAGTCCTATATTTATAAGAAAAGAACGATTGGTGTTAAGTGTTCTGATTGGACATTGCAATCACGTGATTAGCAGCCAATCATGAACTAATTTCTTTGTATTAAAAATGGCTGCTTAATGGATGATTGGTGGATTTCATAGTTCGTCTTGTAAACGACGCCATTTTTAACACTTGTTTTAGTACTTTTTAATACTTTTGAGATACTGATATAAGTCGGTCGCGCTTCTCTTAAGCTGGTTCTACATTAGTCGCATCGCAGCGTCGCAAGCTGTTGCAAGCGTTGTGGTCCAATCAGAGTCGAGCTAGCTTGTCGTTGATTGGACCTCAACGCTTGCGACGCTGCGATGCGACTAATGTAGAACCAGCTTTAGGGTGCAGTCACACATAGAAGGAATAAGGAATTAGGAATAAGGAATAACGATTTCAACCTATCAGAAACCGTGTATTCTGATGTATCCGATTTCTGATAAGTTGAAGTCGTTATTCCTTATTCCCAATTCCTTATTCTTTCTATTGTGGCTGCACCTTCTGGGTGCCGTCACGTACAGCCCGTAATCCGTACCGGATG